CTCCTGTGTTTCAATGCTTAGTCATAAGGGAGTGGCACTATTTGAGAAGGATTAGGAGGTGTGGCCTTGTTGAATGAAGTGTGTCACTGGGGGTGGGCTTTGAGGTTTCAAAAAGCCCCATGTCTCTCTGTCTCTGTCTCTGTCTCTAGCTCTGCCTGTAGATCATGATGTAGCTCTCAACTGCTTCTCTAGCACCATGTCTGTCTACACGTCTCTTCATAGCAAGAGAACAGTGTTTTATCACTGCAACAGAAAACAAACTAGGACAGGAACTGGTACCACAGTGGGATACTGCTGTGATGGACCCGACCATGAGGCTTTTATGCCTTGGGCCATTTTGTGGGAGGAGGGTGGAAGATTTTGAAGCTTTGTCTAGAAATGTGACTCAATGCTCAGAGCTTAATGAGCTGCTGTGGGGACTTGGAAGGGGATGAGACCACTGCTGACGATGGAGGCCTGACTTCTGAGATTTCAGAAGGAAGTGTGAGATTTTCTCAAATACTCTAATGGACTGGTTTGTGATATTTCAAAATAAGAATCTGTCCCATCATCTGTGTGCAACAAGAGACTAGCGTTGCTGCAGTGAACCCTTTGATTTACTGGGACAAATCAATGCTGGCTAGCTGTGGCTGAGAAATCAACTGTGACTGGAAAAACAAAACAAAACAAAACAAAACAAAACCAGCACCACTGGGGTAAAGTCTTCTGGGAAGTATTTATCCATAGCCTCTGTTTTAGTTTCTGCCCTTAATTCCTTCAGTGATGGGTCATCACCTGGGAGTTGTAGGATGAAACAAACCCTATCCACCCCAGGTTGCTTTTGGCCATGGTGTTTATCACAACGACAGAAACCAAACCAGGACACTGATGGTACCAAAGAGTAGAGATTTTAAGAGCTAATCATATCTAGGCAGATATTCTATTTAGAGAATTGGAATGCATTTACTTGATCAATATGCTTCTATTTTGATTGAACATTTCATAGAACAGTATGTTGGTAATCACCCAAACTTGGCTACCAGGTATATAGTCTGGTGCCGTGAGGAGAAAGGTGGAGGATTTCGAATATACAATAAAGAATTGACAATTTTAAGGACTTAGAGGGTAGCTCTAATATTGTCAAGCTAATTTGTCTACATATGCAATTTGACTATTATTAAAAATTGGGTTTCTAGTGTAAAACTTTCCTCTAAGCTTAGGTCATTGTCAACAATAAAACATCAAAAAAAAAAAAAAAAGATTGCTAGCCATCTTGAAAAAAAATAGCTAAATATATCTGAGATAAAATTTAAAGTGTCCTTGTATTTAAAAACTTTTAAAATCCTCATTTTAAAAGCTACTTTTAAGATGATTTTCAACTACGAATGACAAGAGGTGGGAAGGAAGCACACCAGATTAAAGGATGCTCACATGAGTGTATGGTACTTAGAAAAGAATTGATGGAGATGGAGAGATAACTGTTAATGCCAGCGGCAGGGGTTCTGATACCCTTTTCTGTTCTTCATTGAGCCTATACTCACATGCACAAACTCACATACATTCTTGTAACTAAAAAGAAAAATAAATCTTTAAAAAAAAAGAGATGAGCTGACTTTATAAGGTAGGTTCCTCCAAAAGTATGAATTAACAAATTGCTTTAATAATAAACTTGTCAGTTTGTATTTCCTTACCCAACTACAGAGTTAACGAATAAGACTGCACAACTACAGTAAATATCATGCCAAGAATCTCATTTCCACCCTTCAAAAGAACTGATTGTTGGTTTCAATTTAAAGTGATTACAAAAGTCTGTGGGAAACTGAGACAAACTCAAAGAAAATAAGAAACTCCTTTCTCCTAAAATTGAAAACAAAACTAAGTTCAACTTGCCATTGGATGACAAAGTTCTGATCGGTTATCACGTCTGCATCATCTAACCCTACCCAGCATGTGTGGTGTAGGAATGTTTTACCATTACTTGTTGTAGAAAATCTCATTATGAAACACAAGTCCAAATGCTAACAGGTGATAACAAGGAGGAAACCTCCAACATACTTAAGCCTATAGTAACAGAATCAGTGTTAGCATCTGTAAGTAATTTTCAATGCTATTTAACTCCACTTGGTACAAAAACTGAGGTCCACCCAACAGTCTGTCCTTGTGAATTTGGAATGAAAACTAGTGGCCTTGCAGCATCTTCCCGAATGGACTGTGTTGCCAGTGAGGCAAGAAGGTCCACTGCCTGCCAAGGTGTGCATACCCAGTGCTGACTGGGTCACTGTCTTAACTTCCTTCTCTGATCTCTAGTGAGAGTAAAGAGGGCAAGGGCAGGGCAGTGAGGAAACAAAGTATCTTTCTGATCCAAGCCCACCCACCCCCGTCTAAACAGGTACCTAGGTTAAAAGATAGACTATTCCTACAGAGTTCTAAGGCCATGGCTATTCACTTAAAATTGAGTGGAAACATTCCCAGCAAACCATGTATCTGTCATATAATACAGATTTTGATTCTTCATCAATGAGACTTCTCTCAACTTGAGAGAGACTACTAGTAATATTCCTAAAGCAGTCTAGATGTGGAAGGCTAGCCAACAACGAACCTGTTGCATGCAAACCAGAGGACAGGAGGACCAAGCTGACTCATACATGACAAAGGAAGCTCAGGCTTCAAGGGCCCAAGATTTAACCAGACTCTGATTCCTGGGTGATAGTCTATCCTGAATGATTTAGGAGTCCACCAAGAACTGGCCTCAAGGCCAAGGTGATGCTTGCACAGAGGTCAGACATAGTTGCCAATCCAACCCCAAGCAGCAGCCTACACAGGGTACCACTGTCTATAGCTCTGAATCTAGCCTACCAAAGACACCATGTATGCACAAAAGCCAGCAGGAACCACTTACTGTAAGGAGTGGGCTTACCACACCATGGGATGACAGTTTCACACACACCCTCTACTATTCACGTAGTGAGGTGAAATGCTGCCTTACAACATGGACACAGACACACTTCCTGGATAATCAACAGACCACCACCTGGTTCTGAGGATCAATTGTTCAATTGTATGTAACTATTTCACAAATACTGACCGACTCTGGGGCAAGTATCTAGGATTGTACCAGTAGAGATTTCTACAATTTTAAAAACTGTTCCCATCCCATCCACTGACTTTGCATGTAACTGTTTAACTGAATCTGCCCCTACATACCAGATAAATTGTACAAACTGTGCCAACTTTAGACTGCAGTCTCAAATGGCAAACCCATGACGAAAAGGAACTAATAACACAGCACTAGAGAACAGATGAACTTCGTGTCACCTCCTTGAAGGAAACACTCACTCATGCATTTGTGAGATGAACACATTGTTTTGAGCAAGCAGGGAGAGTTGCTAATTACTTTCTAATTAGGGATTTCTGGCTTTCCATTCAAGTGTGACTTTCTTACTTAACATCCTCAGTAAACAGTTTAGATGCTTATACAATTTTTTTCTGGTAGTAGTGACCTAAGGTAACTAACTCTTGCAACCAGTGGAAATAAGGACACACACACACACACACACACCCTGAAAATCCCTTACAACTTTAAAAATAATAAAGTATAAACAACTGGGTCGTGTGACTCTGGCAAGCATCATTCACTTTTCTTCACCCTTCTTGGGAATTATGAGCTGACTATCACTATTAGGGACACCACGATAGGGGCATATTGAGAAATTGTTGTTTTACTCTTTTTTATGGTAATTTAGTATGCTTTTCTCACCTAGTAAGGGCATTCACGTTTCACTGTGTTCCAGGGTGAGCCAAGTGACAGTGACAAGATGACCCTTCATAACTCACCAGGGCCTTCCAACACAGAGTTCCGATGCACAGCAGGGACTCTTACTAGCCCATGGCAGAACCAAATGATCGGAAAAGTTATATTTTCATAAACATTCGAAGCCAGGAGTGTTTATGGAATATTCAAACATACACAAGTGACACAGATGAATGGATTAACGGAGTTGAAAGCAGAACTGATCATGGAGATAATTCAACCAGTAAATAAAATTAGATTTTGTTTTTCAAAAATGGAATTGATAAGTGTCTTTTTATTGACATGGCTTGATGTGAGGATGCTTTAATAATAGTCTCCCTTTTCTCTAGTAACACGGGAATCCTTCACTAACCTCCCCCTAAGCCAAAATGAGAGGGAGAAGGAAAGGGAAATGGGGATCTAGGAAGAGAGTGGTGCAATATACTTTGAAACGTGATCCACAAACTCAGAGTCTCTCCTGAGAGTTTTGCTTCTTAACTGCTTCTTCTTTTTAAGTTGCTTTATCTCTGTATCATTAGAAAACATGGAAGCCATAAGAAATGTAATTTCTACTCATCTCTGTCTACTACAACAATCAGGAATGTCTTAATTTGTATGGCTGATACCTATAGTCATTTTATGTTAAAGTAAATATGGAAGTCTCTAAAAGCCCCAAGCACCTTCCTGAGTATGCCTGGAGGCTGAGCCTGGGATGGGGAGTGGGGACAGGTAAGCTGTATAATTGTTTATACAGAGAACTGGGCTACAGAGAACTGCAAACTGGGCCTTGAGAAGATAGAAGGATAAAATGAAAACGTAGTTAGCAAACTACAAAGCCATATGCATTGTTATCACCAACGGTAACAACAACAACCCTTGTATTCTTAATGAACATTAGTTTGATTCATATCTTAAAATGCCGTCACTGGGAATGAAAATCAGCAATTCACTGATATTAGTTCTTTTTTTTTTTTCAAATTTTGAATTTCACATTTCAAAACAAATGGTTCCCCCTTTTCCTTAGAAGTGAACATGTACGTATAAAGCCACTTTAATTTCTTTGCCATAGAGCAATTTCAGTTCAAAGTGTATGTCACTCATTCAAGAGTTCTTGAAATTAAAGAAAAGATGTGAAACAAAAACACGCTGTCTATTGAATGGTTCAAGAGCTATGTTGGCGGTTTTGTTTTTTTTATCAAAATGTGGACATTTGAACTAAGTCTGGTGTTACCTCGGGAACGCCAAGTTTTCTGCACGCTTCCAAGAAGTTTTCCACATTCCTCCTGCACTTGGCCATGCTGAGTTTTGGCTAGAAATGTAAACATACAGAAACAACATAGTATTAAGATAAAAGTTATCCAGAAACATCCATCTAGAGATAAAAAAAAACCTTAATACTGTGAGTCATATTCTTGGGCTGTGTGTGCCTACAAAGACATTTCTATGCGCATGTTAGTTAGAGAGATGTTTAGACAGACACAAGTATGCAATGTTGATATGCTGACATATATGTATGCACATGCTAGGTTTTCTGCCCACACATCTAATTATCTGTGTACATGCGCGCGCGCGCACACACACACACACACACACACACACACACACACACACACACACACAATCACCTACCTACCTACCTACCTACCTACCTACCGGATAATTCATTTTGATAATCCATTTTAGTTCATCTAAAAATATACCACAACCATCACCTGTCTCCAACAACAAATGTTACTTCATACCAAGGGTTATAAATCCTTGAGGCTAATTGTCTCTTAAAAGTTGAATTAGGCCGGGCGTTGGTGGCACATGCCTTTAATCCCAGCACTCGGCAGGCAGAGACAGGCGGATCTCTGTGAGTTCAAGGCCAGCCTGGTCTACAGAGCAAGTGCCAGGATAGGCTCCAAAGTTACACAGAGAAACCCTGTCTCGAAAAGCCAAAAACTTGAATTAGAAAAGAGACAAAGAGGCAAACAGCACTAAAAATAGTAGATTTAACCCAAAGCTGTTCACTGCTTTACTTCCATGACCTGGAAGATGTGGATGGATAACAGGTTCACTGGATTCATATAGAGGAAAATAATTTGATGGTAAATTTTAAACACTGCTTACTAGTACTTTTAAAATTCCACTATTAATTTCCTTAAAAATGAAAGCAAGAAGTGTGGGTGGAACAATTTAGCCAAGAAGGTAAACAAATACCATCCCCCATGGCGGAAGAGAAAGTCTTCTCACAAGTGTCACGTAAAGACACAGGACAGCTGTGCCCAGTCACACACAGACGGGGGGACAGGAAGAATACAGGGGACAGAGAAGCATAGGTTCTAGAGGAGATGAGGCAGCAGAAGCCGGGCATCCTGCAGTCCTATGGTCCACAGACCTGTAACAGGAATAATAAAAGACCCAGAGACAGATTCTGGGGCTCAAGCTGAAGATCAGAGAAGCAAAGCAGCCAAGCCTCTAGCTCTTATCTCTTCCAAGCTGAAATGTCAATACTATCTCCACGAATCCTCAGAGTGCAATGCCTCCACCAAGCCTCAGACTGCATTCCCCAAGTTCCTGTCTTCTCCCGACTTACATTCCTCTCTCCCCCCAGCAATATCACTCCTGTCTCTACCTCCCTAGGGCTGGGATTAAAGGTGTGTGATCCCAAGTGCAGAGATCACCTTTGTGTGAGCTGTTTCTCTTTTAGATGGGATCAATTTTGTGTAACTCAGTGTGACCTTGAACTAACAGAGATCAGTCTGCCACTGTCTCCCGAGTCCTGGGATTAAAGGTGTGTACCACCACTGTCTGGCCTCTATGGCTAGCTAGAATGGTTGCTGGAATTAAAGGCATGTATCACCACAGCCTTGCTCTATGGCTATGGCTAGCTTTGCATTTTGATCTCCAGTTGCTTTATTATATCATAAACAATATATGGCCACATCATGTACTCATACTTCAGGAACAGTGCTGTGACAGTGGTTAAAGCCTCACCATTCCCAGCATTAACTCCTGAACTAATTGGGGGCATGAGGGTAGGGGGGAAGGAGCTACTACAATAAGAGCAAGAGAAGAGGAGTAGAGGAGAGGAAATGGAGGGGCAGAAATACTGAGTTGGGGGAAGAATAGAGAAAAGAGAGCAGGATGAGAGAAACCATATCAGAGGGAGCTACTATAGGCCCGAGAAGAGATCTGGAACCAGGGAGATCTCCAGAGACCTACAAGGATGACACGATCTGACAATCCAGGCAATGGTGGAGAGGATAACCTAAAAGCCCTTCCCCTAAAATGAGATTGATGACTTCTCTTTATGCCATCCTAGAGCCCCCACCCAGTGGCTGATGGAAGCAGAGACAGACATCCACAGATATACACTGAGCCGAAACCAGGAATTTAGTTGAAGAGAGGGAGGAATGAAGAACGAAGGGGTCTGTACCAGGTTGGAGAAACCCACAGGAACAGTTGACCTGAACAAGGGAGAGCACATGGGCCCCAGATGCTGTCGGGGAGACCAGTACAAGACTGATCCAGACCCCTGAACA